TGAGGCGTTCTAAAGTATGCCCTTTCTTGTGCAGAAATAGACATGTTGAATAACATCTTCCAAAACAGATCTCTTCTTCCCATGCCATACATGCTTCTCAACTGCCTCTCTGCCACAACTCCCCATCCCATTCACATCCCTCGTTTCGTCTACACCCCTTGCCGCCCCTCATAGCCCGTGGACTCTCATTATCGGTGGCCACGTTTGCACCTTCTGGAGCCAACCCCTTCTCGCGATATGTGGGTGCGGGTTACAGCTGGCTACCCTCCAACGAGGACTCGTGGCTCATCCATGACAAGTTCACCTGGGATGGGGTGCCCTTCCTCGAATGGCCCGTCAAGGACCAGGACAATTGCAGTGAGTTGCAAGAATCCGTTTCAGTTCAGGTTTTGGGCCGCGTTTCATTCTGTTACACCGTTCAAGGTCACATCGCGTTTCCGCTCTGCGTTGTTTTGTGATCGTGTGGTTTGAACATCACATTGCACGTTCAAGGTCAGCTGGTTCTGGGATTATTGTTGAGGGAGTCCACGGTTTCTTTCTACATGTGCAGTGTTGAGTGGCGCAGCAAACTCTTCGTCCAAAATATCTCCTCTCTGATTTCTATGCTTCGCATTGCTTGTCTTCTCCTTCCAAGCTGCCTGCTGGGCATATGCGGTGGTGGCAAGTGTAGAAGCAGCATACGGCATTGCAACGCTGGAACGCGCTCCCCAGCTGTCATTGGAGCCACTCTTTGCAGCCATGGGACTAAGCTACACAGACAAGTGCACGGCTGGAGGCTCCCCCACCGAGGCCTTTGAGAAGCTGATTACTCTTGTTGGGAGCAGTGGACTCACAGGGGACAATGATCCGGTAGGGCAGACAAAATGTGGTAAGTGAGGTGAGGCAAGGTGCATGCATTGATGTAATCTGAACTACTTCCACAGTATTTGCTGTTGGCTTGCCCTTCCAATGTTGCTGTACTGGTCCACTGGGGTGACCCCAGCGATCATAGAAGGGCGCCGGTGCACTGAGCCTCCAACCATTACACCCCTTTAGCATATTAAATTGGCATTGGAGTTTGAACTTGGTACCATAGTGGTCTGTGTTTCAATTCCCCAAATGAGCCACTTTGAGCCATCCCTCTTGGCTGTAGGATATTTTTCCACTCATTACTTTCCTTGTAGCAAAGCATTTTTTCTTCTCCGGATGGATTTGACATGGTGATTGTACCCTTGCTTGATTCTTCCTTCTTTCGTAACTCGCCCAAACTTCCTCCACCCGTCCTCCCTGCCTCCCTTCCCTTTCCCCCCTCCCCCCTTCCAACAATCATGCATTCTTGTGGTCCTAGGCTTCAAGTTTTCCAGTGTATGCATTTGAGAGCACACGGTTCAAGGGGTATGTGGGGCTCATGCTGGCAGTGCAGCGGCAGCCGGTGGTGGTTCACATCGAGGGTTCTGCTGCAACGTTTGTTGAATATGATGGGGTGAGTCATTGCAGCACTCACCCGTTATGCTGACTCGTGGTCCTCGTCTAAAGGGGCAACACAGAGATACATAAAATAACTGGCATTGACATGAATGGGATTCAAATAGATGGCCCACAGATTGACAACTGCCATCATTGTGGTTGAGTTACAGCTCCATTCGTTTTTCAACTTCATTTAGGAATGCAATGCTCTCAAAGGTGACTACACTAAGTGGGCTCTCTGTTGTGATGGATGTGCTGTCCTCCTTTTCCTCAGACGTATAAGTACCAGGACGGTGACTGCTACACTGGCAACCTGAACCACGTTGTACTCGTTGTTGGCTACTGCATGAGAGGAGACGACGGTAGCCAGAATCGCATCGCTCCTCCGTTTTGGATCATGCGCAACTCGTGGGGAAAGTTTTGGGGCGACAAGGGCCATATGCCCATGGACATCCAGGGAGGGGATGGCGTGTGCGGCATCAACGTATTGCCTGGCATCTACCCCATCGTCAAGAGTGAGGAATCTATTACATTGTAACGAGTGATGAATCTACCCCATTGTAAAGAGTGAGGCATCTCCCTCTCCCATTGTCAAGAGTGAGGCTTTTACCCGATTGTCAAGAGTGAGGCATCTACCCCATTGTCAAGGGTGATGCCAAATAGTGAGGCATCTACCCCATTGTCAAAAGTGATGCCAGATAGTGAGGCATCTACCCCATTGTCAAGAGTGATGCCAAATAGTGAGGCATCTACCCCATTGTCAAGAGTGATGCCAAATATTGAGGCATCTACCCCATTGTGAAGAGCGACGCATCTACCCCATTGCCAAGAGTGATGCCAAATAGTGAGGCATCTACTCCATTGTCAAGAGTGATGCCAAATAGTGAGGCATCTACTCCATTGTCAAGAGTGATGCCAAATAGTGAGGCATCTACCCCATTGTCAAGAGTGATGCCAAATACTGAGGCATCTACCCCATTGTCAAGAGTGATGCCAAATAGTGAGGCATCTACCCCATTGTCAAGAGTGATGCCAAATATTGAGGCATCTACCCCATTGTGAAGAGCGACGCATCTACCCCATTGCCAAGAGTGATGCCAAATAGTGAGGCATCTACTCCATTGTCAAGAGTGATGCCAAATAGTGAGGCATCTACTCCATTGTCAAGAGTGATGCCAAATAGTGAGGCATCTACCCCATTGTCAAGAGTGATGCCAAATACTGAGGCATCTACCCCATTGTCAAGAGTGATGCCAAATAGTGAGGCATCTACCCCATTGTCAAGAGTGATGCCAAATGGTGAGGCATCTACCCCATTGTGAAGAGCAACGCATCTAACCCATTGTTAAGAGTGATGCCAAATAGTGAGGCATCTACCCCATTGTCAAGAGTTATGCCAAATAGTGAGGTATTTACCCCATTTTCAAGAGTGATGCCAAATAGTGAGGCATCTACCCCATTGTGAAGAGCGAAGCATCTACCTCATTGTCGAGAGTCAGGCATCTACCCCGCCATTGTCAAGAATGAGGCATCTGCCCCATTGTCAAGAGTGAAGCATCTACCCTATTGAAAATTGTGGGGCATCTATTTCATTGTAGAGAGTGAGGCATCTAACCCCCGATTGTCAAGATTGTGGCATCTACCCCATTGAAAAAAGTGAGGCATCTGTGCACAAAATCACTGAGTGATGCTTAGCTGCTTTGACATGAGCTGTGTACTCTCTTTCCTCCACACTTCTCCATGCACCACGTCCTTCCAGCTTCCACCTTCATGTGTTTCCTTCCTGTGTTTCCTTCATGTGTTTCCTTCAGTTCCAGGGGACCCATGCGGGCGACTAAGGCACCAGTTTCATCAGGAGAAGGAGCCCAGCATGAACCCGTGCGGATGGTTCTCCTGCTACCCCACTGCGGAGGGCAGCAACCGCTGCAAATGCACCACTCCTGAAGCTACCACGCAGCCTTTTGTTGAGGCGGGGAATGGTGTCAGCTCCAACACATGTGCTTAAGGTAATTTCTCTGGCTGGTTGATTTGCATGCCTCTCTGGCTGGTCGGATCCTACCTAGCCTGGGGATTTGTGGCTTTTAATAGCCCTGTGGCTAGACTACTGCTGGCCACAGCATCCTGTGAGTTTGAGCGCCAGTGTAGCGGAATGAGGGAGCCTTGGCACCAAGTTTATTATCTCCATATTTCCCCTTCCACTTTGCTTTGTTGCACCGTGTAAAATCTATCACTTCAGAATTGCAGGCTGCTCACATGTCCTCCTGTTCCCATGGCACGAACAACCCAAAGGTAGGTAACGAGAGCGGAGGTGACATGAGGCTCTCACCGTACGGTAGGTCTGTTCCGCTCTCATGTCCCTCTCCCATCATATCGATTTTCCCCACTATCTCCAATCAACATGTTCTACCCACCACCCTGGCGCCATTGTGGCAGTGGATGTGTGCGGGTCGTACTTCAAGAACCCCTGCTATGTGGGCACATGCATCAATGACGGCCGGGGCTTCTACTCCTGCGTCTGCCCTCCCAACTACATTGAAAGAAAAATTGCTTATGACCCCCCCACCTGCGATCCAGGTGATCCTACTTTGAGAACTCTCAGAATGCACACAGTGAGATATTTTCTAGAATACCAAAACATTCTTACTTTAACGTGTGTCAGTGGCTGTGGATATGTCAGTTTATCATTCTTGGAATCTTCCTCATGTTATGGGTGTGTCTCGACAAACAGTTCATAGCACCAACGCATGAGATGGGGTGTGGTGGAGGTAATAAGACGAGTTTCGAGTCAACCCAAAACACTCCTCCTTGCACTGTCACTTCCAGCAACGCATGAGGTGGGTCTGGTGGAGGTAAAAGACAGCTGCAAATCGAGCGGCCCTCTCGACAGATTCTCTAGCGTTCCCCTCTACCTAAGCTGCTTTTGAGTCAAAGCTACCCAAAAGCAGAAATCTAACTGTCCCCTCTCCTTGCAGTTGCTGCCCTCCTTCTTGTTCCCCCACGCCTCTCTCTCACTCCCTGTGGCGTCTTCAGTCAATACCACAGCCACCATCATGACCGTCAGTGGAGAGAACTGGTGGTGCTCAGATGTCTACACGATAGTTGGCCTTTCAATGGACTCTTTCATCCTTCAAAACATGGTAGGAATTTGGTAAAATTCCTTCGAATCGACCCAAAATCAGTCTCATTTGTTGGATGGATTCGCACGTCATGATGCAATTCTCTGAACGTCAGTTTGATTCTGACTGTCAGTTCGATATTGTATGAGCTCTGCATTGGACCTGGTTTGTATCACTCTCCCATTATAGCAGGGACACTTATAGCAGGGACACTCTCAGCTCACCATCTTTTACAGGAGAACTACCAGTACTCTGTATTGGGTTGTAAACTGTGAAAACTTTACTCTCCAGGACAATGCGAGGAGAACCAACCAGCCCAGCTGTTGCTCTCCTTTTGAGAATTCTCAAAGACCAACTCAGCCCTTGCTCATGTGTGAAGTATGTTGAGATTCTTTAGTTCACACCACCTATTATCCATTCTTATGTTTCGCAATGCAGGACATAGATTGCAACCAACCGTTGCCCAAGGAGAGTGTTCTTCAGCTGGATGGCACCCCTCCCACACCCTGCACTGCCTTCTTCTACACCCTCAATGTGAGACATTCAAACCCTCCCATCTCAATGTTAGTCACCCTGCATTCCCTTCTTTTACACCCTCAATTTGAAATACAATCCCCTCTTGCACCACTCCTGCAATCAACCAAGCTAGCAAGTCAGATCTGTGAGTTGAGCAAGAAACAAGCTACTCCCCGGTGCCGAGGTGAACTCCAAGTCAACTTAGAAGTCACCTCAGTGAGCCAGCAACAAGCTCCCACTCCCCTCCGTTCACCCCTCGTTCACCCCTCAAGCGAGACACCTGTGCATCTATCTGCAAGCAGCTGAACTTTTCCCAGGGCAATCTCACCGCTCTTAACCCCGGCCTTGACTGCACCATGCCCATCAAGGGGGGCCACTCGGTGTGCATAGAGCGCAATGCCACCTTCGCCTACACCGTTCCCGAGTGTGTGGATCATGGCGTGCTGACGCCTCAAGACACGTGCGAGCGGCTGCTTCAGAGGACCACCAGGGCTGAGCTGTACCGCAACAACCCCGGCCTCACCTGCTCCCCCAACATCCCCCCCTCTGCCACTGCTGTCAGCAGCAACATTGGCGTGGAGGTGAGGGCTGTGGGGCAGGGATTTTCCTTGGGAAGGGAAGGGCCCCCTGCATTGATAAGCAAGGGAGGTAAACAAAGGTAGTTGTGGGTACATGGCTACTTCGCAGGGCATCAAAGCTCATGTGCCATCTGAAACACCAGCAGGAGACACTGACATGCTCGCCATCATTTCCTTGCACAATGTCCGCAAGATTTGTGTCCGCGTCGCCCTTTCCCCTGTTTTGCATTTTGTGTAAAGTGTAGTTTCTCCTATGCCCTAAGCCTTTCATGCACGCCGTGTTTCACGTGCATCTTTCCATCACAGGTTTGCCTCAAAGCAGAGTATGGGCCATTCAAAGTAGGCATGTGCAAAAAGGGTAGGGTCAAGCCAGTCTCGCCATCGATGGCATGTTCAGCTGCGTACCGTTACTACGGTGGAGCTACGTCTACAGCAGTTGCTGTGTTCAATGACTATAATTCCAAATCTTGCTCCGGAAAGATAGGATCCAAGTATATTTGTGTGCCGTAAATATTTCAGCTTGCCTCCAGAAAACCTTGAGTTCAGCAATCTATGTCGTAGCATTGTTTGATGTGGTACGGTATATTAGTGTGAGAAAGTATGACTAGGAAGTGATTGTACAGGGCGATATAGTCTAATTGTTGTACCCTATATGAGCATGCACCTAGCTAGCCTATAACATATACAAATTATATGTTCACACTAGGGCCTCAGATTGCAGGCTTTTTATCCTGATTCAGAGTAAAATCAGGGTTTTTTTGGGGGGTGACCTTGATGAGACAGTATTTTTTTAAGACAGACCCCTGAAATTTCAGGGTTTTCTAAAGAGTGAACTCTGATCGATCAGCGTGCCTAGTGTAGTGTGGTCAGTTTTCCCAGCGTCGTATCGGGGCCGGACCCTGATTCTTGAAATAGCTGTTTCCTAGCCCCAACCCCCCCACCCCGTGATTTCCGTGAATCCCCCCCCACCCTCCCCGTCAATCACGCCGTCTTGAGTGTGACCAACCAGATTTCAGTCCTGCTGGAGAATATTCTGCCATTCTCCTCCAGCACATAGTGCTCGGCGGGTTCTCATTGGCTGCTCGAAAATAGCCAGTCGAAAATAGTCCAGCACAGCATTGCCAAATTACAGCCACAGCAGCCAATAGACCAGGTCTATTGTTAGACCGCTGGCCCACCAGCACGACAGTAGATCGCTACCCACCCGCTTCGTGAACCTCATCCATGCATCCATAACTCTGTTGCGAGCCGCGTGCCCTCCACAAACCTCAAGAGACCCCATCATCTTCATCTATTTCTTCAATCGATCCACTAGCTGTGTTGCCGCACCTGCTGCCTCGTTCAAGTCGAGTGCTTCCACCCCCCGTCATTCCGTTTCTTCTCCGCAGTTGTGACTGATTTTCTTACCGCTGCCATCCTGCAATGGCAGCACCTAGCGACGGTGATCCAGAAGGCGATGATGGTAGCATTCCTCGTGCAGACCAGTGCACGGGGCTCGACATGCTCCTCTTGACTCTGTCTAGTCACACCCGCATCCCAATTAGAGCCGACACAGTGCCTAGAGATAAGGAACCTGCAAGAAAGGAAGTAGCCAACTCAGTTTCCGATGTAGTCATTCTTCCTGAGCAGGGTCTTAGGCCCGGTCCGTCGGCTCCAGCCGCCCTCGAGCGCACTGCTACTGGGACGACTACTGCCAAGCACCTTGGTTGCTACCGCCAGGCTAAGTTACCGTTCGCGAAGTCGAAGCCAGGAATTGTCGAGCCGCCGGCGTCGATACCTGCTGATGACGCTGAAGAGCCCTCTGAAGACGAGACACCTTCAACCTCCAGGAAGTCTCTGAGTCCTTCCGAGCTTTACGCTGAGGCTCTTTCGCGTTACAAGTCGAGGTGGCAGGAGCATTTTCCCTGGCTCGTTTTGTGTAAAACTAATGATGGGCGCACTGCCTTTAAGTGTACCATCTGTCTGGAGCATGCAGGGCTCTCTGGAAGGACTGGTCGTCATGGGCCAGGAATCACAGACGCACAAACACAAGCGTTCAACAGGCACGCTGGTACCGGAAAGCACCACCTTGCGTTCAGGAAGCAAAACGTTTGCTGCAGGATGCGACTACCCAGACGTGCATCGATCAGAACCCGCACGCCACGGATTTGGAGAGGGAGCGAGTGACCGCGCTTCTTGACTTGCTGTACACCTGCTGCAAGACCAACGAACCCATGGAAACAGGGTCACGATCACCAACCACCTTGCCTCGCGGAAGTTCAAGACCTTCCCCGAGGGCGGGTACGGGATGTACATGATCTCGTAAGCCCTAAATCCCTTTACATTCCTAAGCTTCTTATTCTTACCTTTGATCCTTGCAAACCACTAACGATGAGATTGATTTTGTTATTAAACGCAGGTACGGTTTCGGGGAGTTCACGCAATCCACCGCGACCTGGCTGCACACCACCCAACTGGAGCACCTCTTGTGAAGCCCGTTCATCGGACTTAGCCTCGATGAGAGCATGGACCGTTGCAGAGGAGAGCACATGATAGTCTTCTGCGGGACCACCACATCGTCATCGAGTACCTGAAGCTACTCAGCGTTGACAAGGCGGACGCCTCTTCTCTCTGCTCACTCTACTGCTCTCCCACCTGCAGGCAATCGGTGTCGATCTTCGCCGCGTCTCGGGCATCAGCACAGACGGGGTGTCGGTGATGATGGGCTCGAAAGCCGGCCTGGTTACTCGACTTCGGATGCGTATCCCTCACTTGGTCTCCTGTCACTGCATCGCTCACCGGTAAGTATTCATTTTTGCATTATTGAGTGTCCAACACTTTGCACAGATGCTGATTCCGGACCCTATACTAACTGTCACTCATGCTGGTTTGTTCGGTTTCTCCCCGTGTTCTCTTCCATGTGCAGAGAGGCGCTGGCAGCTAAGGTGGCGGTGGAGGACATGCCGTTCTTCGACATCATCGATGATGTCGTCAAGGAGTTGGCCGAGTTCCACGGTCGCTCTGGACCATGGCACCAGCGCTTCCTCGACCTCCAAGACGTCTTCCTCTCGGCGTGCTTGGAGCTGCAGGGTATACACCAAGTCAGATGGCTCTCACGCGGTGAGGCCATCCGACGGCTGGTGAAGGTCTTGCCAACCATCGTCGTCATGCTGTTCGAGTTTGCCGACAACCGTCTTTACAAGATTGTCACGAGCTACAGGTTCTGGTTTGTGCTCATGTTTCTTGCTGAAGTTCTTGAGCAGTTGAACATTCTCAACAAGACTTTCCAGGCCCGCGAGGTAAGTTTCTTCATATGGTGTTCCTAAACCGCTACTGACCCACCATTGTTGTCTTACCTGTATTCTCAAACCCCTTTCCGCAGTTGGACGTGTCAATGATCCACGCGTCGGTCTCCCGCGTGACGTCCCTCCTCGAAAACCGCTATGTCGACTGCGGCGATGACTTCAACGGGGGGGCGAAAGACCTGCTCATGGCCTTCCTCACTCGTCACGGTCGTGATGGTACGCGCAGCGTCGCCGTTGAGGGCGTTGACTCCGATGGGCGCCCGAGTCGATTCAACTTCGACCTGCACGAGGAGCCATTGGATGGCTACCCGGGTGAGGGCAAGCACGACGATTGTGTCATGGCGTGCATGGCGCTGGCCGAAGGCATGGTGCAGAACCTGGACGAGCGGATGGGGGACTAGAATATTAGGGGGGTTGGATGCTGTTCAGTGCAGACCAGTGGCCAAAGGGGTGGGAGCGTGCTCCATGGAAGGCCCAATGTTTGGAGTGGTTCGTGATGATGGTCGAACTCTACCATGCAGGATAAGCTGAAGAGATCCTTCCAGGTATCTCACTTGTCCTTGACCCCGAGGCTTGCACGATTTGTTGATGTGGTTCCGCTCTACCCTATTTTACTCATACTCCCATTGTTCTCCCTCCCACCCCCTAATGGCAGGTGTCAACAAGCGAGCGGCTATGCTGGAGATCCCCCATTTCTGCCCTATCCTTACCGCCCTGCCAAAGAGTGACAAGGGCTTCTACACCGGCTTGACGACCATGCTGTAGTCTCCAGACTGGGAGGATGGCTTCCCCGATCTCGTCAAGCTGTGGTGCGCTACGGCAGCTCTTCCCTTGAGCACAGTGGAATGTGAACGCGGGTTTTCCCGCCAGAATGTGATTAAAAGCTGGCTGTGGGGCAACATGAAGGACTCACGCCTTGGAGATTTGACGTGTATGAGCCTTCTAGACTACGAGTCGGACTGGGATGCCGTCATTGGCATCTGGAGAGCCTACAAGAAGAGGAAGCCCTATAGCACTTGCCCACAGAGCAGAGCCCACAGGAGCAGGAAGGGGAAAGAGAAGGAGGACGATGTCTCTGTAGACCATGATAGCATGCAAGCAGGGGAGGAGGATGCTTAAGTAGGTCCTAGTTTGCCCATGTTAAGTTGTAAACCCCTGT